ATGAAAATTATGTACCTTAATCATTGCCTACAAGAAGAATTGGGCTGATTCCTGATTAGAAAATTAAGATTTTTAAAGATTAAAAAAGTTTGTTTTGTTGCCATTTATTTAGTTAATATTCATTTGAATTATTTGGGGCTTAATTACAATAAATATTAGCAGAATATTTGATATGGCAGTTATAAATTCTGACAACATAAGTCTGTATAAAGTGCAATACATCAACAATTCCTTCATTATATCTCATTGCCTTAGTATGTCTTACAAAATACAAACAATAGATAAACAACACATTGATATCTCTGTGTTGATAAGCTTTATGCATAATGCTCATTATCTCCATGTCCATCCATCCAAAACAAACATGAGCCCCTTCCTACATATTTATGTTATATGTACTGTTAACTGTGGTACTTTATTAGACAGGTAGCTTCTAAAACATTTACACTGTGATGTAACATGAAGTGTTGCTCACATCTGGTAGCCATCTTTTCTGGGGAAAGCTGCCATTCATGATCGAGTCTCACATGATTGAACCTGACAGACATACAGGGAGGCCAAGCCTTGTTTTATCATATACACCCGACCTCAACTACTTGAGCCCTGTCTGGACTCATTAGGGCAATGTTGCCAATTATAGCCCCTCATCCTTTAAGCCCAATACATTCAGAACAAGTGTTGCCATAAATATGAATTTATTTAAAACAAATCCATCTGGTAGTGGGTTGATTCAGAACAAATGATCATTCAACTTTTTAAGAAACCCAATTTTTTAAATGCAGGCATAAAAAATATATAATTTATCAAATTATTTTGATTATTGATTGCTTTGTTGATATATATTTAAATTTAATTAATATTATTAAGAAAGATTAATAAAAATAATAAATTAATGATTTTCAGGAAATGACTACCTGGGACAAGTTAAGAATATTTAATACTGATATTTAATATTAAAAAATAAACTTCCTAAGGCCTTGAAAACATATTTTCCTGTAACAAAACCAACCCATTCAACATGTTCAACATGCTCAAGGAAATACTGTATAAATTAAGGGCTGGTCTTAAATCCAGTCAACATCCTCAATTCAACTGTGCATTCTCTTTTATTTCATTTACCGGGTGCATGTAAGATAAAGTCTGCATAACATATACAACTCATAGTATGTATGCTTGGATGTTCTGAATACAATGTTGACTTGGAGTTGACATGTGTTGCACATATGATGTACACTGCTCATTCCATCCCAATTAATATACAATATTGTACCTCAACCTTCATTAGTTAAATAAATCTTCTCTTAGCTAGATCAAGTTATATATGATATGGACATTAATCCATGGTGTTCAAGTGTTTCAAGCACATAGTACAAAATTGCAAACATGATGATATTTCATTTTTTATTTTTGAATTTGACACTCAAATAAAAGTACAAGGTTATATATTTTTTAATTTTTATCCCACCTAACGAGATTTTCTCCACATGACCTCCCCAGACCCCCCTCACATATAAAATGCTTACTCAGCATGCTGCTCTACCAGGAAATGATGTAGAAATTAGTCAGTATCAAGTTTGTAATGGGGATCATCAATTGAGGATATAATATCTGATTTTTATAGTGGTATCACTACAGGATAAAATACCAGCTGACTATTACACACCTTTCAACAAATAAGATAAATAACACATTGTATTCATTTTCTAAAAAAAAACATTTTCGGTTTGACTAAAATACAAAACAGATTCTTGTAACTTAAGATATACATTTTCTTGTTTAGATTAAAACAAATCATTATTTTCCTATAAAAATTAATGTGGAGTTTAGTGCTTTTGTAATAATCCTGAAAATTTTCTTTACGATCGATCATTTTTTCTAGCATGCTGGCATAATGTTTGATTTATAACTCCCTTTTGTTTTGTCTTCAAAGTATAGACCTGGTGCTTGTGGTCCTGAGAAGAAGAAACATTGCTCAATATTTACACAAAAACTTCCTTCAAGGCTGCTGTTGATATGAAATGAAAAACTCATGTGAATAATGTGAAGCAGATCTGATGCATGTAGGCCACATGACAGGATAGGGCCATAGTTCATAAAACATTTCTTAGAAATGCCAAAATCTTGCAATGAATTCTGTTTGTGAGTTGCAAAGAAAACATTTCAAAAACTGGAATAAGACAATAAATTTTCTTTGCAAAGAAAACATCAAAAATTGAAACAAAAATTTGATTCAATTTTTGGTGAAATTGCATGCCATGGATCTTGTATTTACCAGTCCATATCTTTTTTTTTTTTTTGCCTTATCCATTATAGAATGAAAATTATTTTATGTAAAATCAATTGATGAAGATATTTTTCTATTATATTGCTGATTGAACCATTTGCTAGTCCTTAGTAAATAACCAATTGGACCACCAAGCCATATGACAGAGAAAGGAGGTGGTGGGGGTTTAACCTACAATCAGAAATAAATTTCTTCACTTAGAAAGACATTAAACTTGATGATTCCACAGCTAGGAGGGGTTTTATTTTCATACAGTCTGATTTCATTTGGATGCTGGGATGATGTGCCAACTTCAATAGAACCATGCACTATATCAAAGAACTCTCTCATCAAAAGGTCTCCAGGCATTGGGAGTTAACTGTCAATTTAGCAATCATTAAACAGCTAATTAGAATAAAGGAATCTATGAAGTCATGTCTTTTGTATAAATTCCAGGATTAAAAAGATTCCAGTTTCCATCAGAATAAATCATTACATCATTAAAGTAGTCCCAATCATGAAAAGAATCTTCTTCCTCTTTCAATTTGCAGTTTACAAAATCTGAAGGCTGGTGATTTTCGGGTTTACATTTGGTAATTATAAAATTATCCTGCTCATTACCTATGTGGAAAATCCAGCCTCTCTCTCTCTCTCTCTCTCTCTCTGATTATAAAAGCTCATTCTAAAAAAAAAGCATTCTTGATGTAATTAAAATGATCCCTAAATTAAACAATTCTTATTAAATTCAGCTTCCAAAAAACATATTTGACATAATTAAAAAATCCTTTAATCAAACTATTCTGAATCCACACAGAGCTGAGGTCATCAGCGTTTGATCTTACCAAGGTCAAGGTCGTACATCTGTAGAACATGTTTCTGATTGTTTTAGGTTTATTATTACCACTTTCAAGAGGAACTCCCAGCCAAATTATAACAGGCTCAGTCAAGCACATATTTCTAGATAATGAGCACTGTATTGAGGTCCCTCACCTCTTTGACATTCCTGCTTCCTACTTTCTCATTGTATTTTTAATTTAAAAAAAAAACAAAAAAAACCAGATGTTTATAATTGTCATTTCCCCTTACCCCGACCAATACAAAGTGTATAATGCTGAAACATAACCCACTTAGAAAAAACTTAAAATTCACATATTGTAAAGATGAAAGTGTGGAAGTGAAAGTCAACTAGTGTAAGATTCCAATTAATATAAGAAATTCAATTCTGGTATAAAGTTCATATAGTCTCAGTATTATCTTCCTTAAAAATAATACGTACTGCATGCATGCATTACTTGAAAGTGAATTAAAAATCATCTGTGAGAATTTAAAACACTGACAGATTGAGGTACAAACATCCTTTAAGGTAATGGCCTACATCCAGTTAACCCCTCCTCTAATCCCAACCTCTTACGTCATATCAAATAAATTAATGAATGACAAAAAGTAATTCATTGCTCATTGCTTCAACTTTAAAAGCAAAGCAAGACCTCTGCTATAATAATGTTTTTGTAAATACTTACAAATTAGTATGTTTACTATTACATGTAATAACTATAAATTAAAGGGGAGACAGCTTTCTATCCTACAGCTTCTATTGTTATATTTGATGTTTTAACATATTGCAATAATTATGACTTTTTGGGTTAATTGTCAAATTATATGTTTATTTGGATCTTTTCTGGAAAAGGCCAAACATTTTGGGAGTTCAGAGTATCAGTGCAAACACTGAACTATTAAATAGAGGGAATGTAAATCAGGGGAAAGAACTCTGCATGTTGTCCTGTTCTATCAAATACAATAAATTTACATTTAATTGCCTGTTTAAATTTAAATTTCTCTGGTATGTAGCACAGTAGCTTTCCTGTAAAATAGTTTGAATTGGGGTCATAAGATTACAAAGTGCAGAATGAAAAAAAAAAATATTTCGTCATCTTTTTACGTCAATCTCAAACTCAAACCAGGTTTTAAAGATTACAGAATTTTCTTCCTTTTTTTACGCCAAAGAAAAAAATACCGATGTTCATCACAGACCTTGACAGGTCAGGCAAAATTCTCATGCCTTCCTTTTCATAAGGTTTACGATGAAAAAAAAATCTAAGCACAGTATGAACCCTCCTTCACAAAACACTTCTGCATTAAGGAGGACAATAATTTGCTCGTATATCAAAACTGATAATGCACCCAGAATGAGAGTATTTACAGAACTGACAGCTTGCAATGAAAAACTCGTCATAAAAATCAACCAATGGTTAAAGCGTAAAAACTGGTTTCACTCAATTACATCAGAATCAGTCACAAGGTATCTGGAAACCTCCATAATAAGGGAGTAGGCAAATTATATTTTATAAAATAACCACAATCTCTTAACTTGAAATATTTTTTGAAGATACAGAAACCATACAATTTCAAATTAAATCATTAAAAAATAATTTATCTTGTAAAAAAAAAAAAAAGGTTTGTAGAGGCAAAGTTATTGAGATAACTATACATATGTTACCTTCAGGTACCATCTGTGGCTTTGAAATGGTAATGAACATTTTAAAAATACTGGTACATGTAATTTGATCAGAAAATTCTTTGATTTTTTTTTTTTAAATGCTTGTGGTTTTGAGTACATTTAGTTAAGAGTCTAGAATATACGTATATATATATATATATATATATATATATATATATATATATATATATATATATATATATATATAAATATATAAATGTATTTTTGTGTCTGTTTCAGGGGACATAATAAAGAACACATGAAGTTTTCACCCTTAGGAAAGTTTAACTATTTCCACGACCATCTGAAGATGCCATCAAATGACATTCATGCTCGGAGAAAACGGCATAAAACAGCCTTGGCCATCGTACAGGAATTGGGCTCCGAGAGTAATGCACATGGCCTTGCCAAAATTGCTATGTCACTGCAAACCAAACGAAAGGTCATGTGGTCCCTGCTTGTGATTATCGGATTTACAGCCGCCGCGATTCACTTATCCTTTCTCGTAATTAAATACCTACAGTACAACGTAGTGGAAGTTTCAGAAATGAAAGACGGGATGCCAGTGGAGTTTCCGTCTGTGACGATTTGTAACACGCAGGCTCTTTCTCTTACCAAACTAAAGCAAAGAATGAACGAAAACCTTGACATAACTAACTGGATCAATTTTATATACCAAGCAAAGTTTGGTGAACATTTCTCACGTGTGGAATCCATTCAAGGATTTTATGAAAATTTATTCCAGGAAGCCCATATAGTGGGGCATGAAATAAATGACACACTTCTACACTGTCGATTTAATCAAAGGCCATGCTACCCTCACAATTTTACCAAATTTTTCGATGGAAAAAATTACTACAACTGTTACACATTCAACAGCAAATTAGGTGAGGAGGGCATGCAGTATATGCACACTACAGGGCCACAATATGGATTGTCCATTGTCATGGCACTTGATAATGATGACCCCCCATTAGGTAGTTATGGACTCTACAACCAAGAGAGTAATATTGGCCACACCGCTGGGCTGAGGGTACAGGTCCATGCCCCTGAGACGATGCCTAGCCCCATGGACCATGGATTTGATATCCCTCCAGGATATTCATCATCTGTTGGTCTAAAAACTGTCATGAATTCACGGAAAGCCTATCCGTATGGAAATTGTACACACGATCGACTGACCAGAAATCCAAAATATCGTAATACGATATTCTCGTGTTTTCAGTTATGTAAACAGGAGATCGTGATAAGAGAATGTCAGTGTAGGACGTCTGGACTTCCCTATACAGAGAAACAGAGCAACCTCTCCTACTGCGGAACCTTCCAGAACTGGCAGTCCCTCTACGCTGAACTCAGTAAGACCGGGACCTTCAACAGGACCAATCTCTACAACAGGAAGTTAGACTGTGAGGTCAAGGTTCTACACCGTCTCTCTAATGATCGGAGTTACGAGGTGGGCTGCCAGTGCTTCCAACCTTGTCAGGAGACTTACTATCAAAAATCTATCTCTCTGTCTTACTGGCCCCTGGAATTCTACCAGTACAATGCTTTGCAGAATTTCTATGGGATTTTACAAGATTCGACGAGAATTAACGATTCCTTCATGGCAGAGGCTTACTACAATCTTCATGAAATTATCAAAAAATATGAACCGCTGGCTCAAAATATGACAAAGGAAAACCAAGAACGAATGCTATATGCTGATATTCCCATGGACGAGCGACAGAAGCAAGCTCGGGCCACGCAATTAATTCATCAAAATCTACTTCGTCTTAATGTTTATATAGAGGATCTAAGTGTCACTGAATTTAAGCAGATGGCTGACTATGGAATAGCAGATTTGTTGTCAGATATCGGTGGCACACTAGGACTTTGGATGGGGATATCCATTTTAACAATTATGGAATTAGTGGAATTAGCCATTCGCCTTATGGCACTACTTTTCAAATCTGAAAATAAATATCCTGACCACCATGAGGACAATGGATCAGCCAATGGTATCTTGGAACAAAATACGGATAGGACGATTTATCCTCATGACACTTATGCCCCATATTCGCAACCTGAATATCAGACTTTTGAAAAAAATGATTACGGTCGGACTTCGAACAGTGAACCTCCTGATTCACCAGTTTGATTTTTCTTGTTATCTCCCCTTTATTCCCATGGAATTACACTAAACTGGGATTTATATTTTGTCTGTGATATATTTTGTACAGTGATGATTTGAATCAGGTATCAAGTTATTGTTGAAGCTGGTACATATGCTATATCTATTGAAATTCATAGAAAGTAGGTCAGAATATCATAAGAGGGAAATGTGCAATATATTAGCCAAGGGGATAATGCCTCCCAAAAATGATGTGATTTATGATTTATACTATATATATTATTACCTATTCTGATGGTATGCTTGAAGAGTCTACTTTGCTTTTATGAGATCAAAATACTGGGCAAATAATGTTAATGTAAGTTGTGAAATCACTTTCCCTAATTTTTTTAAGGGGGAGGTGGGGGTTAATATATTTTCAGGGTTTTTCTAAGGTATGGCGAGACCCAACATTTTATTACTCAGTAAATTTACATATAAAACCAATGCCCATAAACCCCAAAGTTTTTTCATAAACTAAGGAAAATTTGTTCCACTGAAAAAAATGTATCATTTTTCAACATTTACAAGAAATGAATAAGAAATAAAATTTCCCATGAAATATACAACTAGACGGTGTTTATTTATAGTTCATAGAATAATCACAGAGACACAATTAAAGCAAAGAAATTCCCATTAGAATACAAGTTCAAATCATACATCATTTTACCCAAAAATCCAAAACAAATGTACCTATGCCAACAAAATAATTCATAAAACATTCACAAAACATGTGGCATCATTATAGGTGGAACGACACAAAAACTCAAAACTGCGATGTTATCCGGTACTACAGTTCATCCGACACTAATTCTTGCACCAGTACCTCTATGTATGTGGAGATAATTAAGTCATAATAATACTTATAATACCTGACATTGTATCAACATCTGGGTGTCTGAAATTAATGTTAATCCACGTAAGATAAATTACTGTGTTCACCACCTTGCTGAAAAAATCTATGATGAACTTATTGCACAAAATATTACATATAAAACCACTGTCATTCAAAAATCATCTAGGAAAATAATAGAAAATCATAGAAAAATTTTTTGTTAGTGTGTGTGTGAATGATTTGGGGTGAAACTGATATTAAACATACATGAAACAATTTTCTCAGACAATCATGTTGGATATTATCTCGTTGTTATATTTATTTCCATTACTCATCCTTTTGACTACATGTAATTGAAATTTTTGTTATTGATATACATGTATGTACTATCTTAATATGCCAGACAATAAATCAGACTTGAGTCTTATATTATGATTTTAAGGTATATTAAAATTTATCTGGAATCCAGATAGCTGATATATATAATTATATATTAAAAACCAATAAATGACTTTCTGGAGAGAAAAAAACTACATATTAATAAATGAATAACAAACGGCAAAATATCTATGGTATTACACACCGTTACGGTAATACTTTTTATATACAATTAATTCCTTTTTAAATAAATGAGCTAAGTTTGTTTTCTTTTATATTATATAATTATTTAAACTCAGCAACTTTTTTCATGTTAAGCATTCTTGACTTATTAAAATGATTTATAAAAATTTTATTTAATATTGCTTGAACCATTTATTGTAAAACAATTATACATGTATGTACTATCAAAAATTAAATGTATTATAATATATTTAATTATTCTTCAATTTTTTTAGATGAAGAAGACAAGGACAGTACATAACGTGACTGGTCTTTCTATTGATCAACTCATTGAATTATGTTTGTTTATTAACAAATGGCCATTCTGCTGTTCCGGGATTTAAATTTCTCCCCCCGTCAACCTTTCTGTGACTACTTTGCAATGCTTTTCTATGATTGGTTCTTAAAAATGTTATGTGACATATCTCCTGTATTTGATACTTCCTTCACACAATTTTTCATTCGGCACAGGTGGTACTTGGCATCAATTGTTTGCCAATATTTATGTGTACCTTCCTGCATTTCCTTAAAGAGTTCTTGTCTGTCATATTGAGAAGGAAATTGGGATTGTGATGAAAAAATTAAATTAATATTACAGTTCACACATTGGTCCATGATAGGTTTCAAAAGCTGAAAATTATTCATACAGGAAAAGTCACAGCAATCAATGTGTTATATAAAGATAGTTACGCATGCATACAGAACCAGAAGAGGGGTACGTGTCATAGAAATTCAGAAAACCAAAATATGCATGGTTGTACAAATTGAGCGATTACACAGTTGCGAATATTATATGATAAAACAAATAAAAGCTAGACCAAATGGCACAGCATTTTATTATTGAGGCAGACTCCTTACCTCAAATAGAGGAAAATTAATGTTCTTTTATCCTGATCTTTAAATTTTTATTAATATTAAAATAACTAGTCGTTATTAACCGGTTTACTTGTTTTGAGATACCTCAAAATTACCTAAAAGATATATTATAAACAGCCAATTTTTTTCTTCGTTCGTAAACATTCATATAACAAGTTGCACTTTTAAAATGATTTCCTTTGATTTATAAGATTGTAGAAATCAAATCTTATCAACGATAAACAAAAAGTAAAATAATCAATAGGATAAGTCAAGTTGACTTGTAATTTCAATTTCAATGAACATATTATTAATTTTGAAATGGATATAATTATGGAAACTGTGCTATCCTGCCAGATATTCTAAATTCAAGCAACAGCGCAAATTAAGTCTCACAAAGAATAGATGGTTTAAGGACCTTAGTTAGTAAACTTGTCTGGTATTTACAAAGCATAAGAAAAGCATTGCAAAACTGCTTTAACAATTAATATCTAGTTCATAAGAAATGGTGCATCTGAATTCTATAAAGCATATGGCCCATAATATCCTGTTCAAAGCAGGAGCATTTTTCTGCAAAAGTTAGGCTTAATTTAACATCTACATTTTCCTTTAAAAAAGGTGAAATCTGTACTTTTACCCTAGTAAATATTTTACAAAGAGCTGCTTAGAGACAAGAATCTATGGGAATTGACTTCTGAAGTGTTACATTTGTGTTTATAATTGAACCCTTAACTATGCAGAGTTATTGAACTTGACACACCTGCTTAACACAGTTCTATTTGTATATCTGCGTAAAATACGACCCACTTATATACAACCATTACCATGATTCTCTCGAGTGTTTACATTCTTTTCAAAAAAAAAACTTTAAACAATAATTAAGGTTTCTAAAATTATGACTTGCAATTTATAGATCATTACTTTTATTTATTAATTAATTTGAAATCCATATTTTTTCATTTAAGATCATAGCGGTTTTTAATACACATATTATTCTTTTTGATTTAATCCAATCATCAAAAATGATTTTTTTTTCATTTTTCATTCTCTCTCTCTCTCTCTCTCTCTGACTACAAAGAAAGTGCAAAATTTGCAGAGGAGATAAACTGAAAGTCATTATGAGAAAATTATAGTACTGATATGTCCTGAATTTACATAGTGGCGTAATTAAGGATTACCCCATCCTGGAAACTCAGAAGTACTTTAAAGGGAGATGCTATTATTGTATTTGCAATTGCAGACATTGCAAAAATTGTGGAGGAAGAGAGCCATCTTAACGAGACTTTAATGAGTATAGACAAATAGCTGAGTCCCGAGATTAATGATCGCTAAGCAATAAACAGAATAGTGCTGCACAGGGAGGTGTTATTGTATTTACATGTACACGGTCAGGGAGTGCTGCATATTCAGTGCATTACAAACAATCATGGGAATTATAGCCTGACCAGTGTCCACCTTTATAACTTCTTTATGTTTATTCCTAATGACTATCCCAGGTGAAAATCGGCACGAGACGAAACAAAAACGTGATCGGGACTAGACTTGCACGTGCCGGACAGCTTGACCAGGAGTTAAACCAGAGAGTCCAGTTAATATTCTTATAATAAGGAAATGTCCAAATACTGGACATTGGTTTACGACCTCTTGATGTCCATAAGGGATAAGGATGCTGTCAGTGGAAGATGTCTATGTGAAGAATTTCCTATCTTGATTATATCAGTTCTACTTGTAGGAATATACAAGAAGTACACGTACATTGATCCTATCAAAATAAATGCCTACATGCATCCTTGCAATACAGCTTAAAGCTTACTGATTACTGAGCTTAAAGAAGTCAAGAAGCAGAAAAACTATTATATGAAAGTCATTTCATTGATCATTATTTCTGATTCATTGACTTCATCATAATGATCAAAACAAAGTATTTGAAAAATTATTAAAATAAAATGTCTACAGAAAATAAAAATCATTCAAGATCTCCTTATTAATTATATGCAATAGAAAATGAGATGCAAAATTCTGAAATCTTTTATGAATTAGTGTTTGCAACATGGTGATCAAATGCAGAAATGTTTTGGTTTTAAGCCCTACACCATAGAGAGAACTTTTAAGTTGGGATTTTTAAGAAAGTTTGACAATCCCTATATTTTTAAGAGATAAAAATTATCCAATATTTTTATTTATCCCTGACTAATATATCAAAATTGAATTCAAAAGAAGACATTAAACTCCTACATCTATTTATACTTTGTCAATATCAATTAATATCATGTGACATCAACATGCTCAAATAATTTTATTTCTATTTATATTGTATAAATCCATTTATTTTTTTCTTTTGCTATTTTCGCCTATGGCTAAAGCTTACATAGTCTCAGTAGACCCCTAGATGGACTGCATATAGATATCAGATTTAATCAAAATCTAATGGGAAAACCATGAACACATCCAAACATCATACAACACCATGTAGTCTAGCTGGCTACGAGTCAAGTACACTACTGTTCTTTTTCAGGGCAATTCAATAAAATTATGATGAGATATGGAGAATATTATAGTTTTCATCCCTACAGAAGTTTAGTCCAAAGACAGAGGGTGCTTTATATTAGTTCCACTATTCACTCCTCATAGAGTAACCCTAAAACACCAATGGTGTGCAATAAATTATCTCTTTTTTCCCTTTGTTGTGCACTTTGTACTCATGTACCAATTTCTATTTTCCTAATAAATCATTTTTTAGTGTCTACACACAGTATTTTAGAGAAATTCTCCAGTTATGAGCAGTACTGTACATGTGTTTTTATGTTAAACATTTTTTTGCTTTTATAAAATGGCAAGGGTTTGTTTTAATACAATCAATAACAATACAATATGTACCATGTAAGTAGAATTTTTATCGAGGATTTAATTTTGGTAATATTTCCAAGATGATGAGATCTGGTGCTGATATCACTGAAATTGAATAGAGTTAATTGCATGGTTTTTTTTAAATAGCTTCTTTTATTAGTGAGCATTTTAAAAATGCTGAAATTATTTTTCGCAAAAAAATATATACCGCCTTTTAATTAATAAGGACAAAGCCTTAAATTTGCGTCACACTAAAATTTCCACTAACATGGTACGCTGTAAATAAATACAGAATTTCTGAATATTCCATATAATTTATCTGATAGTCCATATTAATCATAAATTCCAATAAAACGGATCTTGAGGCCTGTTTTAGTACTCTGTAATACATCCAAATGTACCCATACATCTCCATTTAGTTCTAATTTCTAATGTTCTTTAACACAGGTATTATTATTACAAGTGAACAATGCTACTAAAGTCACCGAAATATTGGAAAGGTCAACGAGTTTAGCTGTAACATACAACTGTTTAAAGCTGTATAGAACAGCCTACTTTGGTCAAACATAGGAGGAACATTTTTGGTATTATATGGAGGGATATATGTTAAACAAAATCAATCAATCAATAATTGGTGTTATATAGAGAATTATTAATTGCTGTACACTGACACATTACATTGATTGAAGATTTTTTTTTATTGACTGTAACTGTTGTAGGAGTGAAACGGTTCACCGCGGTGTCGGTTCACTGAGGTATTTTTTCTCAGTTCGATACACGGTACAAAATCTCTACATCTACATCTCTTAATCTGTTGTCAGCCTACCTCAGCAGGGTGTTGTCTTCAGACAACTATTTATGGTTTATGTGTGTGTTTTCCTGTACCAAGAAATTGTAGTCCGCTTACCTTAGAGAATTTTGCCATCTGGTTGTGTGTTTATTTTTGGTTGTGTTGTTTTTGTTGTGTTTTGAGTGTAATCCTTATTGTCCTTCCTTAGTGATTCTCCAGCCGACTAGTTGTATTGTGATCATGTTGTTTTTACGTGTTTTGACCATAATTGTTAGTGGCCTACCTTAAACAGTATTTTGTAATGTGTTGTTTTTGTTGTATTTGGCATTGTGTTGTTTTATGTTGTTTTTGTTGTATGTTGTAATTGTTGTCCCCCTACCTTACAGAGTCCTCAGCAAGCTGGTTGTGTTGTATTATGGCATCACTGACACACTCTTCAAAAGCTCTCATTTGGTTCTCACTGAAAAAAATAAACCTTTAAGTTATATCCATTATTTTAAACATTTTACAAAACTTTCTAAATACGGATAAGTAACAAAAAATTGTCAACTTCCTGTGCCCTTTATCATTTCATCAAGGTCATAATACCTTTGCATAGTGTCACTGATTTTTTTTTTAAATCAATCTTGAAGTTCGAACTTTGTTCTTTCTATTTCATTTCTAACTAATATGCATTTTTTTTTTTTTATTATTAGGAAATTGGTCTATAAATTGGTTCCCCACCTCTTGGCTGAGGTGAGACATATGATCCTCCCCTTGTTCTGTATGACGTCCTGGTCTATTTCTTGCTGTTGTTCAGTGGGGTCACACAGTGCCTGTACTGCCTCGGTGAGGCCTCGGATCACATTCTCTTCCTCCTTTGATTTTGGACTTGGGGGACCAACCTGTCCAAGTGACAACATCACCTGTTTAAAGAAAGTCAATTAAACTGAGTTAAGCAAGATGGTCTGGATGGCAATAATCTGGATGTTTTTATTACAATCTAGATAAGATTATTGAAAGAACAAGAGGCCCATGGGCCACATCGCTCACCTGAGAAGCTTTGACAATTCTGTTCTTTACCAGATTTCCCCCTTCTTATACATAATGCATCCCCACTCTACCCCACTGATCATAATGTAGACATTTTGAAATCTACACTACCCCATGATCCTTCCATGGGCACATATGTTTCAGTTTTTTTGGCCCAGTGGTTCCTGAGAAGAAGATTTTCAAACATTTTTCCTATATATTTCTATGTAAAACTTTGATTCCCCTATTATGGCCCCACCCTTCCCCCGGGGTCATGATTCCTACAATTTAGAATTTACACTACCCAGAATGCTTCCACATAAGCTTCACTTTTTCTGGCCCAGTGGTTCTTGAGAAGAAGATTTTCAAAGATTTTTCCTATATATTTCTATATAAAACTTTGATTCCCCATTGTGGCCCTGCCCTTCCCCCGGGGGTCATTATTTGAACAATTTAGAATCTACATTATACCAGGATGCTTCCACATAAGTTTCAGTTTTTCTGGCCCAGTGGTTCTTGAGAAGAAGATTTTCAAAGATTTTTCCTATGTATTTCTATGTAAAACTTTGATACCCCATTGTGGCCCTGCCCTTCCCCCTGGGGGTCATGATTCCTACAATTTAGAATTTACACTATCCCAGAATGCTTCCACATAAGTTTCAGTTTTTCTGGCCCAGTGGTTCTTGAGAAGAAGATTTTCAAAGATTTTTCCTAAATATTTCTATAGAAAACTTCGATTCCCCACTGTGGCCCCGCCCTTCCCCCAGGGGTCATGATTTGAACAATTTAAAATCTACACTACCCCAGGATGCTTCCACATAAGTTTCAGCTTTACTGGCCCAGTGGTTCTTGAGAAGAAGATTTTTTAATGACCCAACCCTATTTTTCTCTTTTCTTGATTATCTCCCCTTGCGAGGGGATATGTCCCTTCATTTTAACAATTTTAAATTCCCCTTCACCCAAGGATGCTTTGTACCAAGTTTGGTCAAAATTGGCCCAGTGGTTCTTGAGAAGAAGTCGAAAATGTGAAAAGTTTACAGATGGACGGACAGACAGACAGCTAGACGGACGGACGGACGACGGACAAAATGTGATCAGAAAAGCTCACTTGAGCCTTCGGCTCAGGTGAGCTAAAAATAATATTTTTATATCATTCTTCCAGTTATAAAGAGAGATTTAGGACACTATATGAACCTATTTTTTTTTAAGGAGGATAAGCTTTTGGATAAATCAGGCTTGGTCCTATACTGTATAAGATTCTCATAATTGAACAAAATATGAACTGTTGAATTTAATTAAGTTCAATAAAACTTTTACATATAAGGTAGAAGTCTTATGAAGACAAGGAAAAGCTAACAGGTTTTCTCTAAAATGCTGTAAAACAAACATGATTAACAAACATTTCTTGAGAGAGCCCTCAAACTTCCTGAATGGGAATGAGACATCCATTTCTCTCCTCCATTGTTCCTTCAGGCTTTATAACCCCTAAGCCCCTATCCAAATATGAACTTGAGGATCCACCACTGTCATGTTAATGATGTTACCTGTTGTATGTTTTGATGTCTTTGTTACCTGTTGTATGTTTGATCTTTTAGTACCTGTTGTATGTTTGATCTTTTAGTACCTGTTGTATGTTTGATCTTTTAGTACCTGTTGTATATTTCAACCTCTTTGTTAATACCTGTTGTATGTTTTGATCTTTCTGCTGCCAGCTATTCAGAGTTTCATCCCCTACAACCACTCGAATCTGAAAAAAAAATCAGTTTTTCTTATTATATAAAATATTTAGTACTCAGTTTATGCCATACAAAATACTTCTAATCAAATTCATTTCAGCTTATCAATAGCAAAAGAGAGAAAACTCTTTCATTTTCCATTGAAAAATGTTAGTCCAGTAAACAAAACAGTCTTAAGGGCCATTGATACTCTGATAAGAGAGATAACTCTTAATTACATAAATGTCTATTATTCCTTTATACACAAGCTATGCTATACTAGTCGGTATTTTACTTATAAAATACATTTCTTTTGGAAAATCATTAAGGTTCAAGCATTATTTTATATGAGTGAGCAGAGGGTTTATGAACCTTAAAATTTGGTCATTGATAATCAAAATTTTACTGCAGAATAAGTAAAAGAAAATTCATATAAACAATTTCCTTTACAGATTACTTATTAAATGAATGTTTTTTCCTTTAATCAAAAAAATTCATTATTTACCAATCGTTTTGAAGGGAAAATATCGAACACAATCCTCATGTACTCAATCATAGTTTCCACGTTACACGTCCACATGGACTTCATGATCGGGGCGGCGGGAATGATTCCCGGAGTCTTAGTCTTAGACATCACATCGTACTCTATACTCTGCTTACAGGAACGCCCAAACAGGGGGCCTCTGTCTAATACAAACACAGTCTTGTGTTCCACTGGGTACAACATATTGTCAAGTCCCTGAAAGTTAAACAGAAATGTATCAAATTATTTACAAAGAAACTCAGACCATGAATCTAACTTCTCTGAGAGTTTCATCAGCAGTAGCTTTTCTAATACACATGCTGACTAGGCAATTGACATCAGTAAACTCCAATCATGTCTCAAGAAACAAATTCACAACCTCGATATCGATAGCATGAATGAAAGGCCAAGGGTTTAACCATTTGTGAGAATTAATTTAAGTGTAATGGACACAGGCACTTGTTTCTGTAATTAATTTTTGACCCATAGTATAATAACATTATTATACTATGGGTCAAAAATTAATTACAGAAACAAGTGCCTGTGGTAATGGATCAGAACTGGATGTCCATCAATGGTGAGTAATTTTGGGATTTAAAATCGTAAAATGGATTCAACAACAATTCAGAGAAAGTTTGACAGCTGAATCATCAAGAGGTGCTTCTTTTATTATCATTATCTAAAGTGAGTATTTTCTTGAATAGGCCTATTCTTCATAAAAAGGAAGAGTTTTGCATCTTCGAAAAATATTTTATTTACTGATGATATTGCAGCTTTTCAGTGTTTACAATATTATACAATTATTAATTATAAATGATTAAAAAAAATTAATTAAATTAAACAACACACATGTTCAAAGAAGCATCAGAAAAAATCAAACTAAAATAGGATTTTTTTCCTTACATATGTAAAAAAAAATAAACAGAAATATTTAAACACCTGCAGCACCTACAGTTACTTGTATGGATTATATCAGATATATATGCATATATACATGTATACATGTGTGTATGTGTATAATTGTGTGTATGTAACCTTTCTTTAAAGACCCAATTTTTTTTACAGTATGGTTACCTGAGGAGCGGGAGTGGTCTAGGTTTTTACAGTGGTGTTATTTACCTGGAGACCCCCAATACTCAAGACATCAAAAATCTATATATACACGCAGTGTCTTACCTAACAACCGGCTACCGGCCAAATTGGCCACTTCAATTGCCAAAAATGCCGCTTTGAAATAAAAATTTGTTATAAGGTCCACAGAGATTTTGTTCATAAACCTCAGACCCTAGCCTGTTACAACTTATCTCTAACCCTTTATTTTGAAATAAAGGGAAAACACTGTACACATAGCATTACACTGGAAGTCTGTCTTTGGAAATCATTACTTGTTTCGTGTCTAATTTTGAGTCAAACTACTTAAAATAATCTAAATATTTCACTAGAACATTTAATAAATTTTTAAAACTGATCGCTTTCACTGATATCTTTTGAAGAAGAAAAAATTATGAGGAAAAATGTTTTTTATTAAATTTCAACTTTAAAAAAGAAATGTAAAATAAAAAGTTCACAAGTTAAAACTCCATGAAAAGCAATCACATGATCTATAATTTTTTTAATTAACTGTGAATAAGGAGATAAAAAATAAAGTATTCCATTTATCCATCGCGTGAACATTGACCGCAATTGGAAAATTTTTTGTTCTGGCCAACAATAGTGTCTAAAATACATGAATTCATAATTTCTGAGTGTTCGCATGTTTACAAATTTTTATTGGTGTGCAAGATTTATTTTCTGTATCGATCGAGCATTGTTCATTATTTTTAACTTTCCACTACGAATAGAGACAGACATCATACAAATTTCGAACAATTCAGACAATAACTTACATTCTCGAAACTTGCTTATTCTAGCAATAATTGTAACATTTCTTTACAACATGATGTAGATTGTATATATATAATTATACAAAGATTAAAACCTGTGAAAATAGAAATTGTTGCATTCCATACCGTTTGCGCTATAAATATCTGTTCGTTCTTTTTTAATTAATTCCGTTTTGTTTCAATTTAATCAGCATTAATTTCTGTGGATGGTCTACAGGACGACAAATCACTTACAAGTACCATGATACTGCCGTGAAGATTGAAACAAGTATTTTGTGAAATCATGTTTTAATCATCTACTCTCAATTATTTCTATTGAAATAAAATTACCGATTAGGTTTGTCAGCCCACGTGTACACAAGGCGGGTACATGAATGTGTTAGACGCGTGACCAGGCAATTGTTTTCAAAACATGCAAACTCAGATTATATCAGGAAGCACAGGTAGCTGACCTGTCAATCAAATCAGAAGCTGCTATTTTTTAATGATTGACAGGCGATAAATTATTGATCTTGAATCGGGTAGATTTTGGGGGTGTCAATGTAAAATTGGGTGTTTAAGAACTTTCTTTCTTTAATAGCCTATCACTGTAAAAAATAAAATATGCCTTGAAAAGTGTGTTTTCCAAACTTGGAGAATAAAATTATCTTATCTCATATGTACTCTAAAACACTAACTATATAAATATTGTAAATACTTTGCATATTTCAGATCTTCATTTCACTGAATCAAACTGTGAAGGAATTAAGAACACATTTTTAAAAAGTATTAATCTTCGAGTAAATTCGGAATAGACTACAAATTGAGTCATTAGAAAATTATGGATAAAGCCGAGTACAGAAACTCACTTATGTCTCTAGAGAACAAACATTATTTCTTTGTTAATGGCAAAAGTTCTTTTTGCACATTTCTTCCATTAATCTGTAAATATTTAAGCAAGTCTTGCTTCACTTTTCAAAACCAGAGACGTATAAGAGAGGGACCGCTGACTCTTTCGGAGCACTCTAGATTTTTCATGACGTTTCAAAAATTCGAGTTCCGAATGGAAAATCATCTTCCGATTTTCGCAGCGCCCTCACCGGGAGGCATAGAAACTATAAACAGTATGGCGTTTCATCATAAGAATGGGTAGAAAACATCGCTAAAACTTCAATTTTATGCAAAATTTACTTGTGGCATTAATCGTAGGAGGATTAGATACTTTCGTTTGTATCATGTGTATGACGACAAAGAATTGAGAACAAATTTAAATACAGTAAATAGATGAAATCCATCTAACCCATGTCTCGAGTTGCATTTGTTCAGTCTGTCTTTTAAAAAACTATAACAATAAAAATACATCATAAAATATATTTTATAGTGTAGGATGAGACCAATTATGACGAGCTCATTTGTTTGCAATGTTGATTTTGCAGTTGCATGTATTAATTACTTGGTTTTTAATACATACATAGGTGTTACAGCTGTGTTGGGTTTCAGGTTGGTGTATGACAGTATGTTGTTTGTTTTTAAACTTTCATTAAATAATTATTTTTAAAAAAGGCTGAAATTAATGTTTTTTAGTGTATTATATTGCTGTACAGAAAAATAAATCTATATCATTATATTTTTGATTTTTTTAAACTACATATCTACATTATTTTGGCATTAAAAAACAAAACAAAATACAGTTAAAAAATACACCATCCTGAAACCAGACTAATGTTGTAACATGAATCTAGTCCAGCAACTCATACATTGTATGATTGACTGGTTTTTAAAACAATGTTTAAGTACTAGACTAGTGCTAATTTTTACATATTTAAAAAAATTAAAATATACACTACCCCATGATGCTTTCACATAAGTTTCAGCTTTCCTGACCCAGCCACAGGTGCTTGAGGACAGAACCACCCCCTCCCCTAAAATAAACCCTCGTGCCCATTAAAATTTTTTTCACATAAATTTAATATATATGGATGACACATTTGTGATATAATCTATCCTATCAATTCAGAAAATTTGCTTAAACCAACATTTTACAACAAAATTTCTAACCACTCTCTATAGTTGATTTTTTATATATAGAATGTAGGGTAGATTTTATAGAACATTTGTTTTAGGTAATTTTTCGATTTGTTAACGTTGGTATAGATCTTATCACAAATATGTCAATGGAAGATTATTTATAAGAAAAAAGTCAAAAAAAAAGCCCAGGGGTCTATATCGAAAGGGGGGAGGTTCCTGTCGTCAAGCACCTGTGGACCCAGTGGTTCCTGAGAGAATTTTAATTTTTTTCCTATATATTTCCATGTAAAACTTGGATTCTAAATCATGGCCCCATTCTACCCCTGGGGTCATAAATTGAACAATTTAGAATCTACACTACCCCAGATGCTTTCACACAAGTTTTTCTGGCCGTGGTTCTTAAGAAAAAGAATTTTTCCTTTATTTTACATTCTATGTATAACTTGGCTTCCTTATTGTAACCCTGCCCTACTTCCAGGGGTCATGATTAAATAATATAGAATTTGCACTACCTTAGGATGCATCCACATAGGTTTCAGGTTTTCTGGTCCAGTGGTTCTTCATTTGAGAAGAAGATTTTTAAAGTTTTTTTCCTATATATTTCTATGTAAAACTTTGATTCCTTAGTGTGGCCCGGCCCAACTGGGGGGGACATGATTTGAACAATTTAGAATCTACACTAATCCCAAGATGCTTCCACAGTTTTTACTTTCTGGCCCAGTGGTTCATGATTTTTTTTTCAAGACCCCACCCTATTTTTGTCTCTTCTTGAACATCTCCCTTTGTAGGGAACTTGGCCCTTCATTTTAACAATTCAAACTCCCCTTCAACCAGGGATGCTTTGTACCAGTTTGTTTAAATTGACCTAGAGGTACTTGAGAAGTAGTTGAAATTGTGAAAATTTTAGTTGGACATACAACAGACAAAATGTCATTAGAAAAGCTCACTTGAGCCTAAAAACTAGGTGTTCAAAAAATACAAAAATATGCATTGGCTAAGTTTAAGTTAGATTTATTTTCATACATTTAGGCCTTGTACATGTAGTATATTTTAGTTTATACATATCGTCGCTGTAATATCAAATTGTCGTAAGTCAAAAATCCCAACTTTTCAGGAGAGACAAAAAACATTTTTTTTCAAAATGTCGTATGTCTAGTTTTTTTCTTTCTGTCCTGGATGTTTTTTCTGTACAAATTGTCGTATCTCCAGTAAAGCATTAAAACAAAACCCTGCTATGTATTGTAAGCGTACGAATCTGATATTAGAACGCTCTGAAATGTATTATATGAACATACTCATAAATTGATTGCAGTTACAAACTGCGAAAACAGAATTCAGTTTGTCATAAAGTAACCTTTAATACATCTAATTTTTCATCAATCTTTCCGTTGATTTCTCTGTTTATTAAACAAATATACTTTGTTTTGTATGTTGAACACATTTCTTAATAAAAATTATAAAAGATTTAACTTAAATTATCATTTTAACCTTAATATCAGACGACCAGTGACATCCTTGTCAGTGCCCAGAGACATACGACCTTTTGTCAGAAAAAAAATGCATCCAATGGACATACATCTGTATCTCACTTTCTAATTGGCCTAGAGACATGACGTTTTGACAGAACATGTATTCGATATTGCAGATTCCAAATTAGCAATAAAAATTTCGCGCCAAAAATCGACTTATGACATTTTGATATTACAGCGACGATATATGCATCACATAGAAATTTGAAATGTTCATCACACATTTCTTTACTCAGAATTTACAGTCCAAGGAGTGGGAAAATGTTTGGAAAGAATATTCATTAATTAAATTCTTGGAGGTCTTAATTCTTTTTTTTTTTTTTTACAAATACCATGGAGAGAGATGGTTCAGAAAAAACATAAAAGTTTCTGATATTATTTCTTATTCATTTGCAGTATTGTTGAAAAACCACACAACATGTCAATGTTTGTTTCAGTGCCATTTTGAGCGTGGCTATATTTTATGCAGCAACACAATTTTAAGCTTTACAGCTTACTGAACAACTATTTGTTGTCTTATTCATCCTTAGATCTCACTTAAAACACCCTTATGAAGCAGGTCAAGGTCTTTTGGGAAAACAACTTCAGAATCTTGTAGAATCAATCAAGAGAGGTACTGTTACTCTGAAAATATGAAAAAGACAAAATCAATGAAGAAAAGAATTTAATAGCCCCATGAAATATACCTGTAAAATGTGGAATAATTGTTCATTATTTAGTATATTAAAAAAAAACTACAAAAGCAGTAAAAAAAAAGATCATCAATCCCCATGAAACAAGGACACCGCAAGGCGGAGCATCCCCTCGCAAAGAACATATAAGATTATCACTCTATAAATCTAGGTAATACATGTACAATTGTACATGTATTCGAGATTTATCCTGATGCAAATTTTGATGTAAATAACACATGTTTACAGTCATGTGAAGCAAAATGATACATTTTAAACAAATTATTGTGATATAAATGAGTAAAAATTGCCACTTACTAAATAGATTTATGGTGGTCAGGATAAATTCACCCATAAAAATTTATGCATTCTTCATTTCCTCTGCTTGCAATCTGTGTCTGCTGTTGAGAAGAGTGATTTCTGACATACCTGGAGATTACATGAACAAGTGTTCATCTTTACATGATGTAAAAATTTAACATCCTTATTATACATTCTTGGATATATACAAAAAAAGTAAATAATACATCTCAATACTATGATCAAGTCTTTAAAATGTTGAGAAACTCTCAGGCCCCTTTTGTGGGAAGGAATTTCAGTTTTTGGGACAAATCTCAGTTGAGCAAATAAAAAAGGAAAAGAAAAACAAATGAGTTTTAAATAATATTTATTTAAGGGATATGTTAAAGCAAAGGTAGTTTCTAATGTTCGAATGGCACATACCAGTATTATATTTATGGGGGAAGGGGGGGGGGGGGGTCCACAACATATACAGTGTACCCATTTACTGTTGAAAATGTACACTAAAAGTCCCCCCCTCCCCCCAACCGGCCACTCCTACACAAAATACTAGTAGTATTTTTCTACAGATTGTTCTGACAACTTCCTTCCCTTTTTATTTGCTTGTTCAAGTTTTTTTTTTCCCAGATAACTTGTCCTACATTTACATACCCCCCCCCCCCCACCCTTTTAAAAGGAAACGTGCCTGTATATACTTGCTAATTTTTCCTCCTTGCTCACCGGTTCCTAAGGGCCTGAGTCTACAATGTTTATGAAAATAAAAGGAGCAACTTTTCAACAAGAGAACATTTTTATTCAGAATTAATAATGTTGTACCGACAACGACAAGATGTAAACATCATGATGCATGGTCTCATGTTATACGTGTTATCTTTTTAATTTCTCTTTATAGCTGCAAAAATACATCATAGATATCCACCTTATGTAAATTATTATTGACGTGCAGGCTATAAATAGTAAAATATACAATATATTAGCAATATTTACCCCAAAGTCTTCGATGAAAACACTGCAGCTAATACGACCGGAAGTCTTTCTATGCCTCCCGGTGAGGGCGCTGCGAAAACATGAAGATAATTTGGCGCGAAAATGAGTCAGCGGTCCCTCTCTTATACGTCTCTGTCAAAACGCAACAAGTGCGCGCCGCCATTTTTACACTGCCCGGATGTAATAACAAATATTTACAAAATATTTATGTTATATACCATCAAAAATTAGTTCAATGATAATTTCCTTTAACAATTAATTTAATTAAGTCATTTTATTAGTTAATCATTTTTTCCAAACGATTTTCTGTGTGTTGCTATGGCAATTGAGTAATCAAAGATGTCGTCCACCAAGAGTTCGGTTGGTCGTGATGTTGAAGCGAAAGAATATCTCGAACAGCACCGTGTTTTGGAGCTTTTTAATAACATGACTTCTCAGTTGATATACAACAGACCTGGTAAAGTTTTTTTTTCTGTTTTTTCTGCTTCACTAGCTGATAAGTATATTCAATTTAACATCGTATTTGAGTGAAATGTTCTGAGATGATTACGTGAGATCTCGGACTATAACAGAGTCGGCCTATTACGGACTCGGCCTACACATACTCGGCCTATAACAGAGTCGGCCTACCGCTAAAAACAGTAAGATATCTACGTGATTTACCTACTTTTTATAGGTTGAAGCAGATTAATTTTTTACCATTAATAATATATATCGACAAGCCACACTACTCTATGAAATTAATGGATTAATTAATGTAAATCGTGCATGTATGTAACATGCGTGCTGCATACTAAAGTTATATATATTGGGGGTCTATTTTTTTCCTGTATATATTTTCATTTATTTATTTTATTTTATTCTACTGAGCAACCAATTACATCTTCCTACAATTACGTATGATTAACAGTGTATTTAATTACAATGTGTTGAAATAACAAGTATACTATGAAAACAACAGTACACCAATATATTATAAAACATGTAATTAGAATGAAAATTTAATTTGTTTTGCCATTAAATTTTCATTAGTGGTTAAAATAACACAAGCGGTATGCCCATATTTCATTACGTAGAAACATTTATAAAGAACATTTTTTAAAGAAAATAATTATTAATTATTATTAATATAATATAAAACGTAATTATAATGAAAATTTAATTTGTTTTTCCATACTAATTTTATTAGTGGTTAAAATAACACAAGCGGTATGCCCATATTTCATTACGTAAAAACATTAATAAAGAACATTTTTTAAAGAAAAAAATTATTTATAAATCTTATTTAAACTTTTTGAAGATATTAAATACACTTTTTATTAAAAAATATACATAAAATTCACTGATATTCAGTATTTTAATAGCTATAGGCCGAGTCCGCCAATTAGGCCGAGTCCGTTATAGGCCGAGTAAGTTATAGTCCAACTCTGTTTTAGTCCGACATCTCTAGTACCCCTCAAAAACAGGAGGGGGGGGGGGGGTGAACTTTATCTATGAAATACAATGATAAAATAATGATGCTATAGCCTATGGACAAAGCCTAGCTACAAACCTGTCCCTAGACACAGGTAATTCTTACTGGTACTGTATTGTATTACATAGTTCAGTTTGCACATCTATATATATGTACTATGAACAGGTCCAGTCCAACTGTTCAAGTCCAGGAAAATCACTATATTTAGCTATATAGGTATATCTACCTATATAGCTTTATTTACCTATAAAATATAGCTATATTTAGCTATTTTGGAATAAGTTTCTGTTTTATGAAAAGCAGACAAAAAGTCGCATGTAAATTATGGCTGATATATTTTTTAAAAGGATTGATAAAAACAACCTAGGGCTGCAGATAGTAAAAACATTGCCTCTTATAAACACTTTTTAACCAAAAAATGCATCTCTATTTTCTGGATAGCTGGAAGTCCGGTGAGGCATGACTAAGTGTGATTGCCTTGCATTGTGCTCAATTATTACCAATCAATTATCTTGTTGACCAAAACTGCTTTTCTTTGTTAAAGTAGCTGCTTACTCACAGATTAACTGTTACACATAGCCCCAAAACTTTTAGATCTTTGATTGCAATTGCACAAAAGGAGAAACATTTTTATAAGTGGGTTTTTGGTGAATTGTTTTCAGTCCATTTCAAAGTTGAAAACTAATACTGACTCATTATGCGACTTTTTGTCTGCTTTTCATAAAACTGAAACTTATTTCAAAATAGCTAAATATAGCTATATTTTATAGGTAAATAAAGCTATAATATTAGGTAGATATACCTATATAGCTAAATATAATGATTTTCCTGGACCTGTCCAAAGACTATTTCTACCTACGTAGCTATTAATAGCTACCTAGGTATTTAAAGCTTCCCAAAGTAGCTATTTTTACCTACTTTCTGCTTTACTTACATTTTGTGACCAAATGCAGGAACGGCGCAACATGGTGAGCACAAAATTTCTTGATACAGTCACACTGATGATGGATATGACAAAAATTTGGCCAAAAAATGATTACTTCGTATATTATCAATTTTGCATAGAAACTAATGTAAAATTGCAATTTCAGGAAGTAATCATTTTTTGGCCAAAATATTGTCATATTCATCATTAGTGTGACTGTGTCAAAAAATATTGTATTCCCCATGTTGCGCCGTTTGGTCAGTTTTGGCCGCAAAATGCAGAAATTATAAAAAGTAGGTAAAAATAGCTACTTTGGGTAGGTTTAAACACCTAGGAAGCTATTAATAGCTACGTAGGTAGAAATAGTCTTTGGACTGGACCTGAACATATTAAACTTCAATGTGAATAAAAGTACAAGGCCTCTGGGTTTCTATTGTGGCGGTCAGCTGGGTCTGATTGCAGGTGGCCAGATAGCTCAGTTGGTAGAGCACCTGACCAGGGTTTCAGGGGGCCCGGGTTCCCCTCTGCAGTCCCGGTCTGCAGTCCGCTGCATTTTCTCCTCTCCCGTTACATCTGGTGCCATGCCGTGCCATGCCCTGGAACTGAAAGGTGAGAGGCCTGCCAGGGATGAGCCTGAGATGGGGTTGGGTTGGGGTCCTTGCAGGGCCAAAGACCTTTAAGGAGGGAGGAATGTGGCTGTCAGCCGGGTTTTGATCGCCGGTGGTCAGATAGCTTCTGACTGGAGTTTCAGGGGGGCCCTGGTTCAAATACCGTTCTGATCCGCTGCATTTTCTCCTCTCCCATTTCACTAAGGCTATCAATAAGCCGTTATTTGATTGATCAGAGTGGTTATTATGATTACATTATATATACAGTGGACCTTCAGATATCCGGATGCCAGATATCCGGATGCTTCGGTACAGGGATGGGGTAATGGTAATGTATAATGGTAATTGACTGTAATTAATTACAAAATTCGATGTAATTGAAATTAATGTGTAATTGGCCAAATTTTCAATTACAAGTAATGGTAATTTAATTAATTACTTTCCAAAAAGGCATGTAATTCACAATTACTTTTCAATTACATTCAATTACACTGATTTTAAATAAATGAAAAATCCTCCACTCCCCCACAATCTCTTAAACATTATTTTAGAAAGGTTAACTGATTTGTTTGGATCAAATATTCTGATAGTAGAATTTCTTAAAAAGAATTTTAACACAGTCATATTTCCCTTTGAAAGTATATTGCTAATTAAGTATTGTCCTATTTTATTTTCTTAAAAACTTTAAATCAAATTAATCTTTATAAAGTGAAGAAATAAAATTTATATTTTGATTTTTTAATTAATTAATCCATATCTAAATAAGTAGTCCACTGGCTTCTAATCCTCTTGTTTGCAATATCTTCAGCTTGTGTTAAAGTTAAATTATTATCAGGTGCTAATTAGTGCCCTTGGGTCATGTCAAAACATATTTCTTGATTATAGATATTTTTCACACATTTTGACCTTGTCTCTTGGTATTTTTATACACACACACCTTTGACTTTAAATTGTAGTTTAATTGACACAGAATAAGTCAAATACCAACATTTTGAGAATATCTTAATATGTTGTTGAAATGAGGAAGTATTAATGCAAAAGGCATCAATTGTACTTTCAACATAAATTTAATCAAATGTTTCATGATTCCAAATTCCTAACATATAAATTAAGGTAAAACCATGAGTAAACTTTCTACTAGTCAGTATCTATGTATTCCTGTCACATATACCCAAGTGAACAGAATCTTCAGTATGGCAGGAAAATCTTCAAATCTAATTGATGTAGGTTAGGAGACACCGTAATTGAAAATTGTATGAACATCTTTGAAATATTATTGTAAAAATATGTTGTAAAATAATCTGATATGAATTTAAAGAATAAGGAATGTACATAACTATATCCGTTATAATTTATATATGTTTTCTTGAATGTAATGTGTAATTTAATTGAAGTTTTTGGAAAGTAATTGTAATTTAATTATAATAATTACTTTCCTACGTAATTGACCCCATCCCTGCTTCAGTATCCGGACGATTTTTCATTGGAACAAAATTTTTTAATGTTATTTTGTCTTGTTTAACTGTTGATTCAGGTATCCGGACGCTTTATATATCCGGACAAATTGACTAGGAACCAAAGTGTCCGGATAAATGAGGCTCCACTGTAATTCATGTACCCGGTATATACCCATTCTTTATAGAAGGGATCACTGACTGATCAATCATATAACAGCTTATTGATAGAAATTTAGAGACCTGTGATAAAAGAAAATCACAACATCATGATTTTTTTATGAAATGTGCTCAAGAATCTTAAAATATTTCAGAAAACCCAAAGAAGTATATGATAGAATTGCTTGAGAAGCTTCAGAGATCCAGAGCCACGAAGCATGACTACCCTTGTCTGTTTGACGACACTAACATCCAGTCAGTGTATAACATGCTGGATCCTACAAACAGAGGATTTATCACAATGCAACAGTATAGAGAAGGTATATAGCTTTATGTTTTTGCACATTATTAACTTATTATCACAATTAACTTAAATGTCTGAAGCATAAACAATATATGGTGTATGATAGTGTGGTACAGTCTTTAGATATAAACATGTCTTTTAATTCTGTCAATTACTCTGTTAAAGTATTTTTTTCTACAATATGTTCTTGTTTATGATATCAGCAGTCT